CTGTGTACTCCGACGTCGAGGTGCTAACGTCTCTGTTAAACACTTTAAAAAACTCTGAAAATGGAATACGAAAGGTGGATTCTTGAGGAGGACATATTGGACTTTGAGTTTGACGGTACAAACATTGTCGCCAACTAGTGGTCTGGAGTGTGCAACGCTTCAGATTCGAACGGGAAGCGGAAGTTTATAAGCGGTTGTGATGTATCGGAAAAAATAGTTCTGGGATTTACAAAATGCAAAATAAAACAAGACAGGAACGGTTTTTCTTCACGAAACTTTTTTTGGAACGTCATTGAACAGCGCTGACGACCCGGTGAGTAGCATATTTTAAAAAAAGAACGTTTAAGGTTGTTTTAAGGACATTATCGGACATGCACTATGAAAGCCATTCTGAAGCAGCCAGGGGGGGATTCTGCATGAGCCAAATAGCAGAGACAGGAGCAATTGTCAAAATTTTGGTGTCGATCATTCGATTTCATTCTGGACACTACAGAAAAGGGGCTAAAAGTGTTAAAAACCGGAATTTTCCTTCAATGTGTTCCATAACGTTTTGGATGATTAAATGAGTCATTTCAGGTTGAACAAAGGTTTTCTCGGCCGCCCTGGTGGTCTGTAGGGGAAATACCGTACTTGTAATTGCAGGAGCCCTCGGCCCGCACCCACAGGCTCAGAAGTCTCATGCATCGCGAGAGTCGGTCTTGCTTTACGGCGAGAACTGCTACACGCCCCCAGTGAAAGGCATGCTCGTTGCTAGCGCAGTGGTGATATTTTTGCAGTTATCATGGCGGAACCAGCGAGAAAACAGCGAAAGCCCATGTCGGAGCAGGCAAGAAAGAGGAAAAGGGATCTCTACCGCAGTAGACATGGTGATTCGTTGCGTTCGCCTGTCTGCTAAGCTCAAAACAACAGCGCCTGGCTTGACAGAGACACCAGGAGAACAGCTGAGCATATTTACGATGGTGCACTTTTACTTTCGCCCTCTGGGGGGAGCCTCGCTGGAAAATCAACACCAGTTGCATAGTATACCTTTAACAATTTCAAACAAAGTTAAATGGGGAAAAAAACAAGAAAAAAAAACAAAAAATACGAGATTCTATTACTAATTGTAGTTCTGACCTCCACCAGTAGGTGGCGACATGTTCATATGAAGCTTCATGAACTGTGGGGATTGTTGAAGCAATTTGGCCAAACGGTTCAATGAGGCTTCATCTCAGCATCACATGCTGTAAATATTCTACAATAAATGCTCCATGTTAATGAAAATATGCAAACATAGAAATAACTTTTGAGATTTCATTCATGTGGCTCCTAATATAGATCTGTGAGGACTTGAAATGTCTAGAGGCAAACAGACGTTATCACTTCTATTGATATCTTCAAAGCCCCGCTGCAATACCTGATCAATGTGTTTATGGAAGCAGAAAACTCGTCTCTTTATCCTTTTTCTTGCTGCCAATGCTGATCTGTCTGAACATTTAGCTTTGGTTTGATTAAGGAAATGATCTAATATTTACAATCGCTTCAATTCAAAAAGGCTCTTATAGCTAAAGCTAATTAAAGCTTCAGTTACTGTCATTTTTTTCTTTGCCTTAAAAGGAAACGCTGGAATCAGTAAACAGCGCTACAGTTATAGGCAGGCATTAAAAGGATGCTCTCTGTGATACTGACCTGCATTTCCCTGCTGCTGAGGAGGGAGGGAGGGAGAGCAGATGAGTCTGCAGATAATTTCCACTTCATATAAGCTGCAGCGGTCTTTGCACCTGCCAAGGTGTGTATCTAAAAAGAAAGGCTTTCCTGCTTATTGCAAAGAAATGGGTTGTCAATAAAGCTCATTAATGAAATGCGGTACTTTCTGCTGATGCTCTTCCTACACCGACCAATGATCATTCATCTGTCCAACCCCTTAACCTTTGGTGGATGTTGCTGTGGTCCCCACTGCAGAGTAGAGGAGGCAGAAATTATTTAATGTAGATGTGGGTATTACAGAAACAAATAATCCAGAAACATCAGGCAAAGTAAAGTTGGGAAGATGCTCAGCGAAGCTAACATAAGGAATAAAGAAATAAATAGAATCCAGCAAAGAGGAACTGCACAGGAGGGTATATATGGGGGACAGAACAAAGAACGGTGTAACCAGCTGACAGGGAACAGATTTGGATGGGAGAAACCACAAGGCTGCTGTATAAATCCTCAAACTCAACACTATTTAACACATTTTTAATTGAAAACTTTTCCTGGATGGGAAGTGAAACGTCTTCAAACTTGGACACAAAGTCCAGAGGATTTTTTTTTTTTTTTACTTTTATGGAATAGTTTGAATAAAAGTAAAAAAGTTCAATTAATGCAATTTATTACACCAGCTTTCAAATCAGTTTATTCTTAGACGTTCAATTGTAACAAAAACCAAACACTGGAAAAGAAATAAATTCAGCAAACAGGCTGATTTTATCAGAAAGCAGTTAGTTGCACTGGGTTTTATTTCGGGGTGTCAGGGGGAGGAGATCTGATTGAAAAAACTGTAAGTAATGGATCCTTTTCAATCCCAGTCCTTTTTCCTGGTTTTTGCATGACAGGCATGTTTTGACATTTCTTTTGTGTTTTTTTATGATGCCTTAAATATGTTTGCCAAAGCTCAGGAAAAGGCTTTTCACATTAGGTAACGCAGAGATTGCTTAAAGGGATCAGTTCTTGTTTGAACAGCCTAGCGTACAAACTGCCTTAGGATCCGCCTTCAATGATCAACAGAACAAATCTGTTTTATTGAGCAACACGACCAAAAGTTCACAGACATTCATCGGGTTGGATTTATGACAGCACTAATGAACTTCCTGCTTCTGCCATAAGGGTAGGGAAAAAAAGTTGGTGTGTATGTGTCTGTGTGTGTGTGTGTATGTGTCTAGCCCTCAGAGTGAGGACCATTATGCCAATTTCACCTTCAGATCAGTTGTTGCAAAATGAGGACATTTTTGGTCCTCACAAGCTATTTTGCTAATGGTTATGTTTAAGGCTACGGTGTCAATTGGGTAAGGGTGATGTATTCATATATATATACATACAAATACAGAAATATCCAATCCAATCCACTTTATTTATATAGCACGATTTAAAAAAACACAAGGTTTCCAAAGTGCTGCACAAAGAAGATAAAATAACTAAAATAAATAAAATAAAATAAAAGCACTGCCCGCACAGGATAAAAATATGCATGTGTATACATAAAATCAACATGTGTATACCTAAAATCAATACCCTACATGGTGTCAAAAGCCAAAGAAAAGAGGTGGGTTTTAAGAAGAGTTTTAAATGAGACAGAGAGGTGGCCTGTCTAATGTGCAGCGGCAATCCATTCCAGAGTTTTGGAGCTGCAAGAGAAAACGCTCGATCCCCTCTGAGCTTAAGCCTTGCTTTAGGCACTGTCAGGAGCAGCTGATCAGCTGACCTGAGAGATCGGCTGGGAGTGTAGGGGTGCAGCAGCTCAGAGAGGTAAATTGGGGCAAGGCCATTCAATCTACCGCTGCTGTACCCCTACACACATATATATACATATTAGGGGTGGAACGGTTCACAAAATCCACGGTTCGGTTTGGTTCACGGTTTCGTGGTCACGGTTTTCGGTTCGGTTCATGATGATTGTTACACCGAAATTCCATAGAAATTAATGAAATTAATGAAAAAATCCCAAAAAATTAATGAATTGTAATTATTTTTAATGATCCGCGGAAACCCTGGATCATTTCCGCATGTTCTGCTGCTTTGAATTTAATCATCTCCGCATGCCCTCTACCATCTCCAAGGAACTCAGAGCGGAGCAGACGAAGCCACAGTGGAGGCTGTAGGCTTTGCTTTGAGCAGCCGGTCTGGAGCGCAGCGGGGCGGAGCGCTGACGGAGTATGTGGGATTTCGGGGTTAGCATGACATGTTGGTCATGTTGCTGTTAGCATAAACAAAACGTGTTGCACAATGCTTGCACACTGTTGCACTTTTATCCACAGCTTTCTTTCCGCCGTCATCGTAGGTCACTCTAAATGCAAAGTGGTCCCATACAGCAGACCTATAAAGTGCTGCTGGCGCGTCTTCCAACTCCTGTTCTTTCCCACTCGCCATACCCACACAATTCTCCACAACAACAGATTTTTTTCTGCTACACCCGGCTACGCTGCTTCGCTTCTTCTTCTTGTTTACTACTGGTGGTTGGCTTTGGTCGCAGTACCGCCACCTTCTGCTCTGGAGTGTAAACGCTTCGCCTATGAGAAAAAGGAGCAGCGCATGAACCGAACGAAACACACGTGAACCGAACCGAGACAGTCGAACCGAACGGTTCGGACGGTTTTCATAAACCATTCCATCCCTAATACATATATATATATATATATATATATGGAATTCAACACATGGTCCTCACTATAGCAGAAAGAGTATATGTGTGTGTGGCCATGTCTTTAATACCTGGTGGGGACAATTTCCTAGGAATATGCTACATTTTGGGGACTCATAGGTACTTGTGGGGACCAACAACTGGTCCCCATAAGGAAAGTTTCTCTTCTTGGGGTGGGGGTTAGGTTTAGGACTAAGGTGTGAATTGAGTTTAGGTTAGGTTTAGGGATAGGTATGTGTCGGTAATGGTTAGGGTTAGGGCAAGGGTCACGGTTAGGCCATATAAATTAGTGGGAAATGAATGGAAGTCAATGGAAGGTCCCCACAAGGATATTGTGACACAACATGTGTGTGTGTGTGTGTGTTTGGGGGGGTATTTTATCACGTCTTACCAGAAATGAGTCATCACTTTACAACCGCACACAATAAAGGTCTTTGCAAAGTGCAAGTGTCTCTGCATGTCGCCTTTGGCCATAGAGGGAAACTGGGAAAACCCGAAACAATGGAGCGCAATGTTTCAGGCATTATTAACACTAGATCAAAGCAATCATACAAGTCCATCCTTGTTTTTTCTCACTGCTTAAAGAAAAGCTTTTAACCGTCAGCCTCTCTCTCCCTCCGTCTTTCGCTTTCCCTCTATATCCTTTATTTGTCTCATATAGGCATGCATACACACTTCCTCACGGACCTCTTATTTTATAGCTGTTTTGTACACGCCCTCCGCAGCGGCAGGTCGGCAGCCGTCCTGTTAGCCTGGAATGATTAACTATGTGCACATAAAACTTTTAAAGAAACAAAGGCTGTTGGAGAAGCAGCAGAAGAGTCGGGGGGGAAAGCAGGCATCCTTCACAGGTCTGGTTTAACTCGTAAAGCTTTGAAATCACAGCTCTGCTTTGTTTAGCTTCTCACTGTGAGTTTGATCAGAGCAGGTTTAATACGAAGCTTCTCATGTTACAGTGAAATGCGAGAGATATGAAAATGGAGCTAAAGGTTTTGCTCTGCCTTGTGCCTGCGTTCGTCTTCACTATGCAAGGTAGGTTAACATTCTGTCCTTCTTTTCTCGATGTTATGCAGTTTGGAACGAATGCAATCAGAGCAAACTCTAGTGCATAGTTATGATTAAGCCTCCTGGACAGAAGGAAGTTATATTAGTACCACTCAATTAATTTTCTAATTGTTGTGTTACACATTTGGTTCACATTTCGTAAAGGTTTCATAAACATTCTTATTATAGAGTCTGAGTTGGAGCTCCTAATTTAGTTTTTCACGGATTCCTTCGTCATCCATTGCTGTGAAGATTGGAAACAGCAAACTGATCTCTATTTTTTTTTTTACCAGAGCTTCTCCCTGCAGGATGGATTCCAAGTTGTTTTGAAATGGACTTAAAACTACGGTGGCCTTGAAATGCAAACTGCAACTACAAATCTAAAACCGCAACTACATTAAGGAAATCGCAACTACATAAAGCAAAGCGCAACTACATTAAGGAAATCGCAACTACATAAAGCAAAGCGCAACTACATAAAGCAAAGCGCAACTACATTAAGGAAAGCGCAACTACATAAAGCAAAGCGCAACTACATTAAGGAAATCGCAACTACTTAAAGCAAAGCACAACTACATTAAGGAAATCGCAACTACATAAAGCAAAGCGCAACTACATTAAGGAAATCGCAACTACATAAAGCAAAGCGCAACTACATTAAGAAAAACAAAACTACATAAAGCAAAGCGCAACTACATTAAGGAAATCGCAACTACATAAAGCAAAGCGCAACTACATTAAGAAAAAACAAAATACATAAAGCAAACCGCAACTACATTAAGGAAAGTGCAACTACATAAAGCAAAGCGCAACTACATTAAGGAAATCGCAAATACATACAGCAAAGCGCAACTACATTAAGGAAATCGCAACTACATAAAGCAAAGCGCAACTACATAAAGCAAAGCGCAACTACATTAAGGAAATCGCAACTACATAAAGCAAAGCGCAACTACATTGAGAAAAACAAAACTACATAAAGCAAAGCGCAACTACATTAAGGAAATCGCAACTACATAAAGCAAAGTGCAACTACATTAAGAAAAAACAAAATACATAAAGCAAAGCGCAACTACATTAAGGAAAGTGCAACTACATAAAGCAAAGCGCAACTACATTAAGGAAATCGCAAATACATACAGCAAAGCGCAACTACATTAAGGAAATTGCAACTATATAAAGCAAAGCGCAACTACATTAAGAAAAACAAAACTACATAAAGCAAAGCGCAACTACATTTTTTTTCCTTAATGTAGTTGCGCTTTGCTTTATGTAGTTGCGATTTCCTTAATGTAGTTGCGCTTTTAGATTTGTAGTTGAAGTTTGCACTTCAGGGCCACCGTATAAAACCCTTAAGGCTGATTTATACTAAGAAACCAGGTGGTCTGCGTGTGTCATGCAGTTAACGCAGATATGCCCCGCACCTCCCCAAAATTGTAGTTGTGCTGCAGTACCGCAGACAGGAGGCCTCTGATTGGTCAATTCTACATCCGCTCTACTCTATGCGTATTTCCTGTTTGGTTCCATACCGGCTTGTTTTGTTTGTCTGACCGCCATTGTGGAAAATGACTGGTGAAGATGGAGCAGCTAGCAGAGCGAGGTGCGAGAGAACGCTGGGAACCTTTTTCCACCTGGATCCCAGTTTTTCCACTTCCTCGCCGCCTCGGCCGTATCTAGACCCACAGCTAGTTTCTGATCGGCCCTCTTTCGTTGTGGCGTGGAATAACGTAGCGCAGACCACGCTTCAATATTGGGCAGAAATCAAATCTATATCTGTGTCGTAGTTGCGATAAGCTCGCTGTGACACACTGCTGCAGGAATATACGCAGTTGAAGTTGTTTGAAGTTGTTCATACTTGGAGAAGATCAAACACATTAAATGCATTAAACTAGCAGAACCAGAGGAGTCTTTTCCTAACCGTGACTGAACAGAAATATTAAGAAATAACATTCTTCATTAAATGAGCAGTCCTTTTCTCTATTTACTAATATTCTTTATATTCACGTGTTTGTCTACAGAGTCGTTGAAACTGGACGTGAGCTCCGAGATCACTACAGAGTGTGACAAACCAGTTTATCTCCACTGCAACACATCCCTTCATAACGGACTATCAGTCAAACGCATGGAGTGGTCCCAAGGCAACATGTCTCTGTGTTCTGTGGACAGCCAGGAAACAATAACCTCAACGCAGAGACACTTTGAAAGCAACTTTCACTGCAGCTATAAAGATGGACGTCTCACCCTGGTGTTTCGGAAAGTGCTGCCTCTGGAGAGTGGAAAGCCCTTCAGGTGCAAATTGCAATCTAACAAAGGAGTGGCCCATGATTATACCAGGCTGCAGCTGCAAGGTCAGCGTCCAGGTTTAAAACTTTATTCTTCCTTATCTTTTTTAGTTGGTAAGGGAACAATAGAACATGTTTGGAGAAATCTGAGCATTCAGTCATTCTTAAAACATATTTCCTTAAAGTCAGAAAACTGGGCTTCACATTTCTGTGCATCGGAAATTATGCACTTTGGAGATTCTTCTTTCCTGCCATTGTTTTTAGATTCTTTGATTTTTTTCCCACTCAACAGCTCTGAATGTATAAAAGTATTATTCAAACCATGAATGGCTACACTGCAAAAAATCTAAATCTAGATAAGTCATTTTTTTCTTAAAATAAGTGCATTTGTTCTTGAATTGAGGAGGTAAAATAGGCATTTTGCCAATGGAACAAGGCAATTTACATTTTAAATAAGAAAACACCGTAGCATTGTCTTATTTCAAGTGCATATTATCTAATTATCTTATTTTAAGAGTAAAATTACTCATTACATTGGCAAACTATCTCATTTATCTACTCAAATTCAGAGTGAATGCACTTAATTTAAGAAAATTTTACTTATTTCTAGATCGTTTTTGCAGTGTAAGAGATAAAGACTCTGCTTCAACACCGGAAAAATGATATAGAAATAAGTACACATTTCCTAAATTAAGTGTATTTAACCTTAATTTAAGTAGGTAAATGAGAGTTTGCCAATGGAATGAGTATTTTTACTCTTAAAATAAGATAATTAGATAAAATGCACCTGAAATAATACAATGCTACGGTGTTTTCTTATTTTAAGTGTAAATTGTCTTGTTCCATTGGCAAAGTGTCTCTTACCTCCTCAATCCAAGAACAAATGCACTTATTTTAAGAAAAATGCACATACTGTTTATCTTTACTGTGGAAGCTGTTGTTTCTTTTTAAATACAAGAGTCATAAAATTATGAGAATGATGTAAGGTACCGAGAGTCTGGTAGACTGTGGCATTTAAACAATGCCGTTTTGTACAACATGATGCAAAAAAATGTCCCCCAAACTAATATTTCATCACTACCGACCTTTTGATCCATTTATTGTGTGTGGATCAGTGGATCAGCAGTTTCTAAAGTTCCGTAAATCCTCTAATATAGGCCGGGGCCTTTATTTCACTCAGGTGCATCTTGGTCCAGGCCATTATCGGAAGGAGGCCAGAATTAGAGGCAGGCCTCTATGTCTATTTGATCAAAACAGACGACCAGTGGAATGAATAAAATCGGATTGTGTCTCTTTGAACCGATAAAATACCAGGTTCATTTATTGAAAAAGTACTATAACGGTTTACAGAACATTATTCAGACATCTTCCAGCAGCTGTTATTTTTCTGCACGGCAATACGAAAAAAAGAAAAAGACACAGAATGGATTCTTGGCCAAACAAAGTTTTAAAATAAATTAATGGAAACTGTTCTGCCATCACAGCCGGTCATAAAAACCAAACAATCCGGCCTCCTGTCTGCAGCACTGTCTGCGCTAAGGATGGGAATTCCCAAGCTAATGGATTGGATTCGTTAGCAAACACTGCCCCCCTGTGGTACTTGCATGTTACTATCACAGGTTGCTGAGGACTGCACAGGAACATCGTTGGTTCCAATTATAGCCTCGGCCTGTATTAGCGTCCGGCCATTATTTACCCCCGCCGACAGCAAAACCGGCCATTATTAGAGACCCGGCTGCTAATGGAATACAGGCCAATATTCGAGGATTTACGGTAATCAGGGTTTTGACATTTTATTTGTGAGTCTTTGTTTGAGATTAAAAGCAATAAAATGTATAAACTGTAGCTAAATAAGGAACCATTAGGGCCAGTTTCAGCTTCATGGTGTGTCCTGTGTCGTGTTGGTGTACGGGGGGTAACGAGGGGCGATCAGCCTCTAACGACCACCTCCCTCCCCATCAGGAATCGTAAGGTCGGGAGAAAATCACACGTTTGAAATTCAATCAGCTTTCCAAAGGTGGTTGTGGGTAAATCCTGCTGTTGAAGCAGATCGACGAGCCGACTTACGAGAACCTCAAGCACTGCGCAAACAAGAGAGTTCTTCTTCCAGATTGACACCGCTGAGTCCGACGTGTGGTTTTTAGACGTACAGTGTGAGCAGGTAGATTATGTCAGAGCGTCGGGCCATACAGTGGAAGAACAAACATCATGAGCTCTGAACTTTTAAACCCTGCGGGCTCATCGTACAGTTTAAGCTGTAGCTGGGTGCCATGATTAAATATATAAGACAGACAATGTAGTGTATGGAAAAAGAAATGTCGTTTAAAACTAAACTAAAACTAAAAGTGCAGCCTTGAAAACAGTAATAAATATATAGTTAATATATAGTAAATAATATACAGTATACAATGTATAAATAAATTAAACCATTTTACAAAACATGAATCAGTGTGATGGCGGTGGGGAAGAAGCTGCTGCAGAACCTGCTGGTCCTGCATTGAATGCTGGGAAGCCTCTTCCCAGAGGGCAGCAGGGAGAACAGTCCATGGTGGGGGGGTGAGGGGTCATTGATGATGTCACGGGCTCGGGACACGCAGCGCTGGGATGAAATGTCTTTAATGGAGGGAAGAGGAGCCCCCATGATCCTCTCTGCTGTTCTCACCTTCTTCCAGTCTGAGGCGCTGCAGCCTCCACACCACACAGTGAGACAGCTGCTCAGAACTAAATTGGGACATTTTTAAGTTTACTAAAGTATACTTAAGGTATACTTTAGTAAAGAATAAAGTAAACAATAGTATAGGCAAGTACACTTGTTAAGTATAAGAAATATAGTTTAGAATAGAGGTCTTCAACAGGGGGTTCATGACCCCTAGGGGGTCCGCGGAGGTACTGCATGGGGGTCGCGAAAATTTTGGTTGATTCATTTTTTTTTTTTTTTTTTATATATTCCCTCCTCAATTAAAATGTCTTTAAATCCACATGAACATGAATCCATCAGACTGTAGTAAACAGATAAATGGAGGCAGAAGATGTCTTTCAGTCATCAATGCTCACATTCAGAGACACACAGGAGCTCTTTCAAGCTGGACACCGTTTCATTCACAACACCTGTCCCATCAACCAGGAATCAGAAATACTTTAATAATCCCAGGGAGGGATTACTTTAGTTACATTACTCCATCTGTAATAGAGTGACTATAGGACCAGGTTGATAGAACACAATTTCATACATATATATATAATTAGGGGGTCCCCGCTCCATCTTGTCATCAGTTTGGGGGTCCTTGGCCTGGAAAACGTTGAAGACCCCTGGTTTAGAATAAGTAAACTAAGTGCAATGCCTGATTTTAAGTATGAAATTAGTGCACTTTTAGTATACTTGAATAGACTACTTTTTGCATGATATCCTTAGTGCAGGATATCATGAAAAGTTGTCAAACACAAGCAGTTCTGTCTCCGGTTGCTTCTACCCTAAAAATGACAAAAGTTGATACAGAAACAGATCAACACGTGGGCAGGAGAGAGAGGCTACACATGCATGAAAAGGAAGTCACAAGCACTCATATTTGATGATGAAGATTCTCAGTCATTCAGGTCATAGTCATTCCGTTAAAGTTCAAGTGTCTGGATCTGCAGTGAGTTTAAGGCCCCGTCCACACGAAGTCAAAACGAACACGAGACGCTAATATTTTCCAGAACGTTTGTCGTAAAGACGGAGACGTAAAATAAATGTGATCGTCCACACGAATGCATGAAAACGCTGCAAAATGTATGCCAGGCCTGTAAGTGGCGCTGTGGTGCCAAAGCAAAGATAGGCGACGAAATGTTGGGCATGCGCAGTAATATTTATACATGGTTGCCCTGCGGGTCCATTTTCGTGGTTCAGTCAAATTCAGGTGCTGAACTATGTGGTCGATATTACTCTGTTCTTCCTGGAGATATTCCAGAAGAAGAAGATTCTGTTGTAAGCCCGACAGCAGGGTGAGTAGCATGAGCAGCAACCATTCAACACAGTACGGCGCCATTGTTGTTGTGATACTGTGTCGCGCATGCGTGTTTAGAGGCGACGCTATGACGCATGCGTGTAAGAAAAAAAATGCGGTTAGAGATTAAAGATGGAAACTTCCCAAAATCTTCCCACTCATAAGGCTGAATAAAAAAAAGATCGTTTACAGACCCCCGAAACGCCGGCTTCGTATGGATGAGAGGCTGGTTTGGTGAAAAATTTGTGCGTTTAGGCCAGGGTTTGACTTCGTGTGGACGGGGCCTGAGTCTAGACAAACGACAACGGCAATCCCCCCCCCCCTTTAATGACCAACCCTCAGAATCATAGACAGGTTTCAGATATTACAGGCTAACGATGGAACCAAACGACCCATTCATTGGTTCCCATTTGCATGTGTCCAAGCAATTCAAGTCCTTGTCTATATAAAGACTCAAACTCACTGTGGTTCCAGAAATTTGAATTGAGAAAGCTTCCTGGAGAGGTGGAGAAACGTCTTCAAATCTAGGAAACCAAGTCCAGTGGATATTTTTTGAACTTTTACGGAACTCTTATTTGAGACATGAATCTTGTAGTAATAAAGTTGAATGCATAAGGCTGAGCATACACTGCATGATATGTTCAATCATTGTCTGCAGCTACAGCTCAAACTGTACCATTAAACTTCAGGGTTTAAAGGAAAGTCCGGTCAGCAAGAAATAATCAATGGATCATTATCTAGACGTAAAACGAATATGTTACCGTTAATCAGTAAAAAAATGTTTTCGTCGCGATCACAGAGTCTGGGAGCGGCCATTTTTGCCCAAATATAGTAGCTCCTCCCTCCTGCCATCTTCCAGCAGTGACGTCACGGTGCGGTAAGCCTAGCGCCATTCTCCCCGCTTTCCAAGCTAAATCAATGGGAACTACTAGACACATCTGCAATCAACAACAATTATTGAAGATTTCCAGAGGACTTCACCATTGAAATTCACCAGAGCTATAGTGAAACTGACAATGCCCACGTGCATGGCAGCTGGATGCTGGAATACATCGGGTAAAAGTGAAAAAAAGAGTTATTCCACCTTTCTGATCCCTGATCCTCCACGGACGGGTTGGTCGTTGGATCGCCAACTTGAAGAGGGAGGATTTGCCATCGAACTTCTGGCCAGAGAAAAAACCCGTAATATGTAGCCAACATTTGGAAGAAGAATGTTTTCAAGATGACTTGGATAATAGCGCGTTGTGACAAACACCAGATACAGCACTGGGACTTGATCAACAGCGCTCTGATGCGATCTACCTATTGATGCTGTGTCTCTAAAAACCACATATCAGACTCAGCGCCAGGAGATGGTGCTGGAGGGACTCCTTTGTTTGCACATGCGCAGTGCGTGAGGTTCTGGTAAATCGGCTCGTAGATCTGCACCAACATCAGGATTTGCTCAACAACATCTTACGACGGCTGATGGATTTCAAACAAAATTTTCTCCCGATCTTACGATTCCTGATAGGGAGGCGGTCGTGAGAGGCTGATCGCATCTCTTTACCACCTGTGTCCTACATGACGCAGGACGCACGGGGAGAATCGGCTCGAAGAGCACAGAAGCTCTTACGGTGTATGCCAGGTTTAAAATGTCCAAAATTTGTGTGAACGTTTCAAACATCTTCTTCTTTGTCTTTCCTTTTAGAGTGCTGCAGGACAGTTGAAGCCGTCATGAACAGCCACGGTCCGTCCTGCACTTTCAAACATGCCTACCCTGATGGAGAGGTGCACTGGTATTATGACTCTACAAACATCTCGGAAAAGTCTGTGAGACACCAGACTGCTAAAAGCATAGATAACCATGGCTGGATGATCATCCGCAGCTGGTTGACCTTCAATAGCACGCTGGAGCGAGAGTCACACAAATCGTACAATTGTTCATTGAAAAGTTCAACATCGGGGAAATACATTGCAAGCTCTTTAATTCTGACACCCGAACTTCTGTCCTCGGGAGGCGATGCAGAATACAACATGTCTGACGGAAACGGAGTGAGATCTCTGCAAGCTGTGAAGATCGCTTTAACTATTCTAGTCTCACTTATTGTCCAGCTGGAATAGAGACAAAAAACATTTCACTGAGCCTGATGACACACCAGGTGAATAATCATCAGTAGTAACATGGTACAGTTTTTTTTTCCCTCATTCAATACGTAGGGTAACAGAACAGAGTTGAGTGGGTCGCCTCTCTGGGTTTGAATATTGTTTTTCCTTCCTTCTGATTTTTACTCAGGTATCAAAAGGAAAAAAACGAGGATAATGAGGGTTCTGATTATTTCTGGAAGCCTTTGGCTGATATACAGCTTTTGATCAGGGAGCAAAGCTTGTTGGCTTCTAACAAACAACTAGTAAAACACAAGTGGCTCAGACAGAGCTTCATTTAAACTTGATTTTAAAGTGATTAACTTGTATATAAATAGTATTTATTTACACAGGGGCTGATTTAGGAAATGTGGGGCCCTAGGCAAAGACAGGCAGGGGGCCCTTTGAATGGAGAAGCCAACACATCAAACCGATATAGAAATGTTAATAGAATAGACATCCATGATCTGTTCTAGGTTGTGTCCCTCTCTTCTTGTCCCTTTTCTTCTTGTTTTCCTCTCTATGTTTTGTACTCAGCTGACTTTTCATGCTGTCTCTAAAGGAATGAAAGATTTTTTCCAAGCACTAAGCTCACTTAGCTGATTGCTCCTTCCTGTGTTTCCAAAAAGGCCAAAGTAAATAACCCAGTCCTTCTTTTCACTGTAGACAAGCCATGATCTGCTTATCTGTTCTCCATTTTTCATTTGGATGAAATAATAGCTGCATGAATCATGACAGCAGACAAGATAGAGGAGAGCAGGAGGCGGGGTTACCAATCTACTCGCTCTGGAGAGCAGAGTTCGCTGCTTTTAGATGTTGTCTCCAAAGTCTCCAGTAGCAGAAAAAAGTCTCTAGATTTGGCGCAAGGAGCTTTTTAGAAATCAAAGTGCTAGAGGGGTCTGAAAAGTGGCTAAATATAGCGACTAAAGTGCTAAGTTGGCAACACTGCTCTTTGCGTGGTTTGTTTTTAGCAAAAGGTTTTTGATCAAACACATAATTAATGTACACAAATAAGGAATAGTTGTATTAACCATACATGTAAACTGAGTTTTATGGGGCCCCTAGAAACTTGGGGCCCTAGGAAACTGCCTAGTATTGCCTCATGGTAAGTCCGCCCCCGGCTCACAGGTCACACATCAACTGGCCTAAAGATAAATGGGGAAATGTTTTCCAAAATGAATAAAAGTAAGATAATTTTGGGCTCCAGAAAAAGTCATTCAATTCCAAAACAGACAATTTTAGCTGAAATCCACAGTTAAGCTCATCAGTTCAGACATTATACTGCAGGTGTTCCTCATTCACTGGAATTTAATCCAAAACATAACTAATGTGCACAAATAAGGAATAATTGTATTAACTAACCCCCCCACCCACCCCCACCCCCAGGAATGCGGGGCCCTAGTTAACTGGCTATTATTGCCTAATACTAAATCCCCCCCTTTTTTTACACAATGTTTTACCATTAATGGTATATGTAGCTTGTTAGGTATTTTGTTGCAGCAGCTTGAACTCTTTGATCAAGTGAATAATTGACTCCATTGTTTATTACCCTGAAAAGCAAATATGTTTTGATGTTTGAAATACTAGCTGGCCGGAAAAGAGGAAGCTCTGTTTGTGGTATGTAGACAGATGTCGCCCTCTGGTGGTACAATCATTTGGAGCAACATAAGTGGCTTTGAATAAGCAGCAACAAAAACATGTGAAATACTCAGAATAAAAGATTACGGTGACATTTCTGAATAGTTGCCAAATGTTGCTACAGTATCACTATAGCTGTTAAAAAAAAGAATAATGTGACCACAAAAAATTTCACTAAATAGCAAAGTTTGTTCTTTGTTTTGATGAGTTCACCTAAAGAAGACGTTTTATTAGAAAAAGGAGACATATTCATCAGATTTCTAATTGATGACATTGCTAAATTTATTTGTATTTCCTAATATAGTTACCAAAAGGCAATAATAAATTTTAAAACATAGTTTCTCTCAAATAAAAACTTTGCCAAAAAACAAGCGGGGATCATTTAGGGTAAAAGTTCATTTCAAGGCTCCTTCTAGAGACGTCAGTATTTCCAACACAAAACTAAGAACATTAAGAATTACTTATAACTTTGAATTAAAAGCAAAAAAGTCCCAAGCTGTTCAAAACCCTTCGGCTCGTTAGCAGAAGGATGTGACGATGTCTAAAGGTTAAATTCTATTTCTAACTTTAAATGCATTCGATTTTTTTTTTAATCTAATCGGCCATCATAGTTGAGGATATTGTTTATAAAAAAAAATTGATGAAATCAAAATAATAATAATAAATTTTATTTCAAAGGCGGCTTTCAGGACACTCAGGGTCACCGTACAAAAGATAAAAACAAAAAAAAAATTACAATAAACATAGTAGCAATTAGAAATTTCCCCATTTTTCTTGGCTAGTCCTTTTTTAGCCTGGTGAGACCATCCTGATCTCGCGAGCTTTCAAAGTTTCACTCGCAGATCAGTCTGGAGACTCTCCGTGTAAGAAAATTTGGAGCCGTTCAGCAAACGAACGTCCAATCAGCGTTGGCTTTGAGGCGGGTTGAGGTGTGACGCAACGAGAAGCGCGACAGTTCAGTCTAAAGAACATGGCGGCTTCAGCCGATGAAGCTAGCGTTAGCGTGGCTATCGAGCAAGTTTTATGGGAATTACAGAGTATTTCT